TGGGCGGGCGTGCCCCGAGGTGGGTGGAGCCAAATTTTAAAAAATTCGCAAAACGCTTCCAGAGCGCTCCAGACACAGGGAAAAAGTTGTTTAAGGTCATCGAGGGTCATCTCCACAAATGTAAGGCAAACCTGTTGTGTGTGGAGTGAGCGTCAAGGTGAGCGGGACCATCCTGAAAAACTCCTCAAGCGGTTCCAGAACACTCCAGGCACTCCAGACCTCTATGTGATACGGCCCGGCTTTGCGGGGCGTCGCGCTTACCTGCATTCGTATGATCAAATGCTCGACTAATACCGGCTTTTCTGCTCAGATTGCCCACTTCATCAACGCTCCGTGCCACCACTCCAATCACTGTAATAGTGTTGAAAGTAGCAGGTATGATGCTATTGGTCAAGGAATGTTGACCACCTGTTCAGGTTAAAGAAAAGCCTGATATTAGGTGGCTAATGAAATGAGTGGAATAACGCAAGCGCGGCGGAGCCGCGCCTGCTCGACGAAGCCGTGCTGTATCTCAGAAGGAGGCGCGCCGGTGTTAGCCGGCGAAGCCGGCTGGTAATACTAATATATTAATAATAGTAATAATGTAATCCAGATGCAGGCTTCTATCTTACACTGAATACTAGTATTCAAAAAAATTTTCTCATGCACTATGCACCCATTGCTCTGAATTTTTGCCAGATTTCAATCGGATTTCTTCCGTGCGGAAAGTTCGATATATGAGTACCATCGCTTTTGCCGCGATTACTGGTCTTGAGCCATAGACGCCGTTGCTAGAAGCCTGGTTTGTCGTTGACGTCACAAATCGGAGGTCAGAGGGGGGTGGTGAGAGGTTTCCCGTCGAAGCGGGCGTGACATCTTTACTCAAGAATACACCTACACAGGGAACAGATTTCAGGATGCTGGCGAGTCGAGTACGCCTTAGCAAAATTCCAATCAGTCCTGTTCCATAAAACTCCCATTGAACCTGGTCTAAATGGTTTGGAGTCCTAATCCTACCACCTCCTCAGACGCAGATACTGCAATAGGTTTCTATTAACCCTTCTCGCATGTCTCTGGAGAGGCTGAGTCGTTTCAGGGAGGCTGGGCTTGTCGCGGCATGAGTCTATTGCCTGGCGATTTCATTCGCCTACCCAAGCTGGCGGCGCGCTAAACTCCTCAAATGCTTCAGCGTGCGCAGCAAGGGAGACTTGCTGTGACCACCCGATTCAATCACACGTTACATTCGGCCAGCTGTCGTTCGCAATTTGCCTTAAAGACTTTCTCAGCAGCATGAAGCTTATGCTGAATTCAAGCAACATAAAGGCTGCATCTGATGGGAACTTCTGTAACGGCTAATTATCCTCCCAAAATCAATCCCAACATCTTGTGGCTTTCAGCCAACGTTCGACAGTGCAGGAAAGTCTCTGGCACCGGAAACTACTCGCATAACCGTGATGTCGTATCTCCCAATCACAGCACCAGACGGGTTTACTATCTTCAATCAAGCGGCAAAAGGAGCGCTCTGCGAACAAGTCGTAAGCGAGAAGCCTGTCTGGTTGTAAGACAGTCGCTGAACGGTGACTTCAGACTTTTGGCGCTTCATTGTCCCCTTTCTGGAGCGAAAGTCAGATGTTGACCGAAAATTTCCCCTGTGCGTAGAGTCTTTCTTACCAGGTTCCTCCTCCCCCCTCCCTAAGTACGACTGGCTGTAAATTCACTTATAGTGGTATCTCGATTTAAAAAGAACCTCATTCCACTTCTTCAGCTCCAATTCCGCCTGGAGGAAAATACTTGTTAGTGCGCGAGCATTGGCGCCTTCCAGGTTTTGGATGGCAGCCAAGGTTTTCATGAGATATTTCCATCTCAAAACATTTCTATACATGTTTTTGTCCAGCAGAGAAGGTAAAATGGTAAAATGCCACGAGTAACCCATCCTGTGCCACGTTCGTATGCCACGCCTACCCATCTCAGGGATAGGTAGCCAAACTTCCTCCAGAGCCAAACTCTGAGCCAAATCTATCCGTTGGGAAGACTTTTACGAGCAAGGTGGCCTAAATTTCAAAGAGTGGGGTGAGCAGTAAGGAAGAACTGTAGTCGGAGAACTGTGTTATTCGAAGAACATCATCAACATTTGAATTTACAGTTTCTGAGAACAAAGTTTTGTGCCATCCGTGGTCGGTGGGCAGCATTCTAACAAGTTGTAATCAGGTGGATCATGTCAGTATGGGAGGATTCAGTGCCCGAAAAGCGATCACTCTCGTCGAACACGTTGGAGCTGGTGAGAAAATTACTTACTTTAGATATAGCTAAGCTTGAAGAATTAAAAGCAAAGTTTCGAGCAATCAAATATGTAATAAATCTCAAATAAAAGTACTGTGATAAGTTCAAAAGGAAGTGCTCACTGTGAATCAGTATCTTTGCGATGGGCCATGCTCCCAGTTGCTGTCCACTTTTAGTCTTGAGATAAGCACATGTATAGTACGCACTTGGTAAGCACAATAAACTGTAAAATCACCTGCAGCGGGCATGAGGAAGATGATGAGGTATGTCCCCATGGGGCGAAAGCTTGCGCTTATACCCATTTATTTGCTAAGACCAACGTGACTTTCTGGATGCTTAATGACAAATGTTCGAATGACATAAGCCTGACTCTGAAATTAGGCCGCCGTAGCCAGCGTATGGTTGGTAGGAGATCATAGGAGTGATGGTTTTCAATGCAGGGTCCACGTTCATAGGTTTTAGCGGCTCTACGTGACCGGTGTCGGCTAAACATCCCCGCTCCACCTACTCGTAAGCTCTACAAGTAGTCTGGTGCTCATTCTCTATTGCCCTTTTTCGCGGCGTCAGAGTACGCACATAACGATGGCGCTGTGGCCCCATGAGCATGGCACATCGCTGGTTGGGTAATTCCCAACAGGGGGTCGTACTTGGCCGCCAAGAGAGGTGGGGGGGGGTCGTAGTGAGTGTGGCAGCCAGTAACGGGCAGCGCAAAGGTGTCAGTGTGCTGAGTCCTGTACAGCGAAACTTGCTTTGTAGAGAACTCGGATATGTAAAAAAATATTACAAAACTTTCTTTCATCAAACTAATCTGAAATAAGTGGAAATATCAAAAAGTCGACATCATCTCGTAAGTGACTAAACAGTACAACTCATAGTGTGGTTCGCTGCGGATGATCTGGCAAGTCCGCGATCGCGCTTGGCGCTGAGGAAACCTTTTTTTCGACAAATGACAGGACTGCCATACCGTTCGTATCAGACCTTTTCCAGCAGTTGTCTCCTTTATCAGAACCAGCAACTGGCGGAGCAAGAATCGGCTGCGTCGACAGGGACACGCTCCATCATACGCAACGGAAAACACTGTAAACAAGTGTGCAGGTACGCCATGGACCTCCCTGAATCCTATAGACACATTTGCTCACGTGGACAGACGCTGCGCCCAAGTTGCACCATCCGATCACCTCTGCGCGGACCTCCATGCGCGGCGCATCCAAAGTTAGCATGATTGGCGCTAAACAAACCACATCCTGCTCCTGCTCCACCACAGTGTACTTCTACATGTATTTCTGGTTAATCGAACACGCTCGCTTGAAACCGTACACAGAAAAGGGACTTTTGAACAGTTCGGAGTGTTCCCCAACTAATCCCCAACGCAATTATCTCATGACTCCCGGGAGCTTCAAAGAACGTTTAAGTAGCTTTGGGAAAGAGCAAATCTTTTGGAACTCGACAGTAGTTTTAGATTCCCAAACTATTGAGGTTCAAGGGAAATATATTGGTTCAAACCTGTAAAACTTCAAAGACACCCTACTTTCCTGAAAATCCGCGCTAAAATCAAACCACTGCAACCACCTTGCAGCTGTGGGTCCTGCCTAAAATCCCTCCCCCGGTACCTCGACCTTTAAGCTGAATTCGGCTGGCTTGCTCTCGTTCGTATTTACTTTTCGTGTTCATCCTCTTTATTCGAATATCGAATATCTATCTTCTTCTAGTTTACTCGAATACACGTCAGAGCTCGCCCCAGCAATTTTGCTTAGACCGCTCAGAGTGCTCTTAGGAGGAACTTGCTTGATTTCCTGCTCTTTTTTCTTTTAACTGCAATTGATTCAGGTACCAGAGTTTGTTTTTACTCAAGGGAGGGTGAGTGAAACCTAATGGCCTTTCTTTTCTATTCCCTTTTCTGAATTAGGATAGAAATGAGCAGAAAGCGAGGGGGCCCTGGCCCTCATTCACGATTGTTACTTTTTCCATTTTTCGCGCTTACTTATACATAAACTTGTGAAGTTTCTTCCTCCTCGGGGGGGGGGGAGGGGGAAGAAGCTTCATGTATAGGGGGGGGTCGTACCGAACCCCCAAAAAGGGGGGGGGTGGTACGGGCTTCACCAAAATCCCCAACCAATGATGTGCCCTGCCCATGAGTGACAGTTCTGACGCTTCTGCAGTCGTCCCGTCCATCGAAACCTAAAGTTTATTTGCTATCGCTTTCACATTGTTTCTTTGCTTTCTTTCTCTGTTAGGGGTATTGTCCTTGGAAGACGTGAGGAAACAATTGAGCCAGGGGTGGCAGAATATCGTTTTGCTGGAATAAAACGAGCAGGACCGGAGAACTCGTCCACAGAAGCTGCTAGGCCCTTACTTGGGGTCTTCTTCATGATCTTTCTTTTGCTTTTTTTTTCTTCCCTAGAAAGTTCATTTAGCGGCTACAAGTTTGTATATGAGTACCATTTTCCATAGTATACAGTCGGGGAGGGGGGGGGGAGGGAGGGTAGTTTCTGATGGCTTCTGGAACACGCCACTTACTAAGCTCGAGAATAGAGAGTAGGTGACATGTTCCCTAAGCAAGGCCACTTCCCATCGAGGCTTAGCCATGTCATGTTCTGTCATTTTCCATTTCTAGAAAAAGTTGCGTCATGCTGTTTAGGTGCGTCAGCGAGAAATGATTTAATTTACGGCGTTGACTCAGGCGTGTTGAAACATGTCACAATGGAAGAAACGGAGGAGCAGGACTGACCTGAATAGCCACCATGACCCATGGTAAGCCCGTCGGGTCTGGGTGGGGATGGATTGAGCGTGGGACAAAACCTGAATAGCACCCATGACCCATGTAAGCCCGCCCACAGTGGGCGCGGGGCTTACCATGGGTCATGGGTGCTATTCAGGTTTTGTCCCACGCTCAATCCATCCCCACCCAGACCCGACCCTGCCAAGCTCTTCTTCAGGTGCTATGAATTTTGGGACAAGCAGGCACACACACACACCGGACATAGCCGATTATATTAGTAGAATAGTGTGAACCTAATTGAATGAAGTTTTTTTTCAAATCTGCTCTCATGTTCTGGAACGCTGTTACAGCTCCGAACAGTTGCCCAGCCTCGACGATTCCCGATCCAGCTCTCCCATCTGCGCGTGCATCGATGCACCGATATACGCCCAGTCATGGACAAATTATGATCTGCCTGAGCGCCATGTTCCGAACATAATTCTTGCCCAGGAGCGCAGTCCGGAAGCCGCTTGTAGTACAAAATCAGTACTTCAAAAGTGTCTTGCCGAAAACACGCGACGAGTACGCGACACCGCACACCCTATCATCGCCGATCGTACGGAACGGACAAACTCGCTCGTTTACCCCGGATCGTACTTCTCACGTATTGTAAGCGGTGCTAAGGCAAATCAAACCTTTGACGATGCCCTGTCCAGATTGGGAAAACCGCTGACGATGGAAGAATCTGAAGAGGAGTTTCTGACTGAATTGGACGCTCAAACCGCTGAACTACAGGTTAGTTCCTAGACGAATTTTCTTTAAAAATCCTTGTCTACAATGGGGAACAGATGATTGCTCGGAGGACTACTTCTCTAGGGTGCTTTTTACGGATGTAGCGATAGGAATAGAACGATCCTCCTTCAGCTACGTTATAGTTACATTTTGGGCATTTGTGATCATATAAACAATCGACGATGTACCATTTCTTCTGGTTTCCCTTCATGTTTGAGTTTTTGCTCCCTTCCTTGCGGGTTTCCGGTAGCAGGAGATCGCAGAGGCAGGGGGTAGATTGTGAAAGAAGTTCTCTCCCTCGAGGATCCTCGACGAGCAACAAATGGAACGACCTCCCGTCAGACGTTCCATCAGAATATGATGGAACGTATCTTAGGGCCTAATTCATGTGCATTGGTCAACATGCCCGATGGACTCGTTCTGTCCCTTTGCGGCGAAATCTTTCTCCCGTGACAGCGATGAACGCGATGCGCCATCCGCAACACGTTTTCCGACGATTTCTTCACAAATAGAATACCTTCACAAGACCCTGTGTTTGTCAACGCCGTTTGTAAGAAATCGAAAAAGTTTCCTATTCCAGTTGAAACTCGTGGTTCAGGTTACAAAAGCGACACTTAAAACAGTGATTAATGGCATGACGTCAGAGGTTCCCACTTTTAGAAGGGTTAAACTAGGGACTCGTGCCATTAAATCATGATAGATTTACCTGGCTATATGCTTCACGGCCATGAACTGGATCTCGTGTAGAGGAGCTGGGGTTTAATGATGAAGTGCATTAGGACCTTAAATTCAGGGGGGAGGGCTTTCACGAATTAATCTTCTTGCAGCACCGCACTGACTCGTAGACGTCTTGGTGTAAGACTTCAGCCTTAAATGGGAAGCACCGGTCGCAGAATAAAAAAACCATTCACCTCGCTCGTAAAGGCAGACGGTTTCCACCTGAGGGAGAGGATTTTGAAGGTGGTCGAAGTTTGCAAAAACCTCCCTAGGGGCAGGGCGTGCTTCGGTTGGAAATTCGTTCACATACTGATAAAGCAGCGTTCAGACTTTGCGACGGCAGCGTTTCGGTTGCTCGTTCAACGCTACCAATGCAGTCGAAAGCATGCGCATCAATCGCACCGCTTGCGCGACCGAGCCGTCGCCGTGGGAAGTCTGAACCTGCCCTATGACAACACAGGTATCAGAAAAGAGAAGTTTCAAGCAGGCAGAAGAAAGTGTTGATTCCAAGATGATGCTCATTCGGATTTTAATTACATTATGTGTTTGAATTTAGTCAACTATCTTATCTAGCCCCTTTTTCTTTATTTTTCATCTTCTAAGTGCCATCCGTCTCGACTGCTTTGAATTTACATCTTCTGAGCCGAGCATTTCCAGCTAACTCTGATGATTTCACGTCATCGTTGAGCAAAGCCTCGTCTGCGACGAAATGCCAGCTGGGATGCGACCACCCCATGGAGTGACACTTTTGAGATGTCATATCTGAACATTCTGCCTGATTCATTCCTTGCAGAACCCAGCCCTCCTTTCCGATCCTTGGAATCTAGCCCAGACCCGCCATGGGGATTGAAAAGTGGTTGTGGAGTTGCTATCCCCTCCCTAAGTGAAGGGCTCGTTATGACCTACTTTGGTGAACGTACTGGTGATGATGATGGTGATGTAATACTCCCTCCAACCGAACCCCGAATTCAACCCACACCTTTCAGTCCCTTCGGTCGTCCTTGGGGGGGGGGGAGGAGTTGATTCAGCCAGCAACTTTCGGCCATCCAGACCTGAGTTACCCATTTAGCCATTTAGTCATTATTCTCCCTCACATATACACTGGTTTATGTGGTTCCATCGATACAAAAAGTAATCCCAATGATATGCAAGGGAACAGCTCATTTTTCCCATGGTAACCTCAGCGTAGCTCGTTACAGTACTTTCTGGCTCTTTTTGTGTATTAACGTACTAGCTTAGCCCATTTCGTACCGCCATTCCTCATCGAGCCTTTTCTATAAATTATTGGTTAACGGCTTCCTTTAATTTAATGCCTAAGAAAGTTGAGTGTCGGTCAGGCGGTCCAGCGTGCGGAACCCCGTGCAAAGCAGGCCGATAGTCCGTGCCGCATGCGCGACGCCGCGTGCGCTATGCCGCCGCAATGTGGACTTCCTGACCGACACTAGAAAAAGCTTCTTTGCTGTAAATATTGCATGTCTACGTTTTGAAAACTCTTTGTCCTACAGAGTCATCCTCTTTGTCATATTGACCATTTTTTTTGTCTTCAGGCGCTATTTCTCGTGTTATGGAAAGGGCTGGGGCGGGAGGGGGATGGAAGGGGGGGGGGGTGGAGCAGAAACGCCAGAGAGATACAGGGCGAGTCACGGGGAAAATTGGCTGTCTAGCACAACATGCTCCACTGCCCTCTCAATCGCGACCCCTCTCAGTAGTTAACTTGAACGACCTCTTTATCTCACCTTACCGGCCCAAACTTTCCTTTCTCCCATGAACGCGATGCAATGAGCCAAATACGACCAGGGCGATTCCATTATGGCCCTGGGTGGCCCAAATCGGGAACCCTAAAGCCCTTAAGGATGATGTGCTCTGCCAGGACAACTTTGTAAGTTTCTTCTCTATTCCTATTCTTGTCATGTCACTTTGTGCTGCTTCTCTTGTCATTTATTCCCCGTATGAGGTAGAATAGACCTATTTCACCCTGTGAATTTTTTCTATGTCCGTGTGATCTCCTCAATTGAAAAGAGCTTCTCCTCATCATATATATTTTTATTTAATTTAGTCCATTCTATTGTACCGTATCATATTACAGGGTTATGGAACTCGTCCTTGTCATCATTGTTGTCGTTCAGTCAACGCGCAAGCAATAATAAACGATTTTGTGGTGTCGGTCTTCTCACGCGACGACGACCTGCTAAGTGTTTTGCTTTGGCAATCTGCCAATAGACGTCAACGTATCTTGGCTCATTAGCATTGTGTGAGATTAGCGTCGCGGTCACAGCACGCCGATGGCAGTCAAATCCTAATGAACGCCAGCTATCTCAGCGCTGCTCGGGGGGGTGGGTCAGCTTTCTTCTGTGTGGCCATTTTGCAGGAAGTCCATCCGCGAAATCAAACATTCATTTGCCAAAGTCAGTCAGTTCGCGTCGCTTTATTTTGAGGAATGGAATGCGAAAAGACTAGTATTTTCAAAGAAGAAACCTTATAAGGAAAAACTCGGAAAAGATCCTTAAGAAGCGCAATATTCTCCGCTTCTCCCAGGTGGCGATTGTTGTCCCACGCGTACATCTGCAAAAAAAGCAGTAATTGGTTGAAAATGGCCTTTGCCATTTTCTAGACATAGCCCCAGGTTTTGTGAGAGTACCCGCTTCCTTCCTGGATTGGAGATTGCAAGACATGAGAAAGTAACAGTAAGCATAAAAGCCCCCTATGCCGGCTAGAACTAACTCCTATCTCCATTACAGCCGGTTCAGGGACATACCACTGTCTCACATAATGATAGTTCCAATAATGATAGTTTCCACCCGTTACAAAATTCGCATCTACACGACGTTTTTGCAATAATGCCTAGAAGTTGGGAATTGCTGGTGATCGCCATTTGTAGATTGGTTTGATATGGTTTGCTGATTTTGAGAGCTATTCGAAAGATTATCGGTGGAACTATCATTATGTGGAGCCAGTGTATTAACATAAGATGGAAACTTCATAGGGAACCTTGGTGAACATCTACCCACAGGTGGACTTCGCTTACTGAACTAATGGCAGTTAGGAAAAGATCTCTTTAATAAGGCCCACTTTTTGATTTCTGTCTTCTAAGTGAGTTATGATGGAACCATCGCGTTAATAGATCAAACGTTTCCAGGCGATTTTCGTTTTTTCCCTCAGCTAAGCCCTTTTGCGCCGAAGTTCCTTAAAATTTTCAGCCTGCACGGTCAAGCGCCTCATCAGTGGTGGACTAACCTGCTACACGTCCCAGAAGCCCCAGCATAAAGAAGTGTCCCTCAGATATTTCAGCCTTTCCGTGGCAGGTAACAACATGATAGGGCGAGAATCTTTCCAGCGAGGGGTTTCTTATTTGCTCAAAAAAAAAAACTGTCGCGGTTGCTTGTTGCTTTCTGCGCAAGCACCCCGCCGCTGGACCGTCAATTTTTTGCAAGTTTGGACGAAATTCTTCGTGGAAAATGGTGGGGATTCAGAAGAATTTCTCAGTAGTTCTAGGTAGGTTATACCATAAACGGGGAGTCGTATATTGAAATGTGGAAGAGCAGGCCACCTTCACACACCGTTTTCAAGCGCCATCTCCGATGTTCCTAAGTTCTCCGGGGTTCCGGCGGAGCAGGTCATCTCCTCAATAAGGTGACTGTAAGGGTTAAAGGAGACACTGAGACAGTGCGGTAACAGTCTTGCTCGCTGTGGGCGCGGCGGCGAGCAGTTCTTCACGGCAGTTGTAGAACCGGTAGGGGCAACCGGTACGATCGTGATGGTGTTAAATGGGTGTGTAAAACTCTACTTCCTACTCCCCCCCCCCTTTCGCCCAACAACCTACCCACCCATTTCCCCGCCAAATCCCCCAATTTCCAGCTTTTTCATCCAAAAGATTTTCCGCACGACAGAGTGTGGAGAAGGAGGGGGAGGGGGGCAGGGCACAGCATTCGATGGGGGATTTGGTCGAGCCTGTACGACCCCCCTTTTTTTGGGGGTTCGGGTACGACCGCCCCCCCCTTGTTTTTGCCGTTTGGTTATTTTTTGTGATGCGTATCGATACGCATCAGCCCAAAAATTCCGGCAAAACCCGCTGCGTTCGCGGCCGGGGAATAAAGCAATAAGATGCGTATCGCGAATAGCGGCATGCAAAAAACGTTTTCGCGTAATCCTCTTTCCCCCCTCGGTTAAAAGCCATAGCATCAGCAAATAAATAAGCGAATAGCAACGCCAATGAGACCAGTAAAGCGCACCAGCTTATCTGATGCGTATCGGGATCGCATCAAGGCTTTTCGCCGAATCGCTGCGTTTTCGGCGGCAGGTTCAGCAGAATAAAAAGTCAGAAATCGGCTCCAACAAAATAATAAAAATGATAAAAAGCACAATAGGATTAATACATATCGAAACAGGAGAATAGAAGTGAACGAAAACCGCTAAAAACGGCTTTTTATCCGCGCTTTAGAAATTGCATTATCCCGAGATGGGGGTACGGTACGCAGGAGTGTGTGTGTAATTGCAGCCGTGACGCGGGATCATTCGTCAATTTAGGCCATAGAGGAGAATTTTCAGCAAAGTGGGGTGTCTTTTAAGGACCATCAACTTCCTCACTAAAGCGGACCTCTGGGGAAGAAGAGACCTTATTCGTGTAGAGGATAGGATTGCGCTTCTAAAAAAGTACTGAAAGCGTTTATAGAAGGTCGCAAAAAATCACAGAGAAATCTGCCCATAGGGATTCCATGGGGAGGTGAAGGGTTGAAGTTGTAAGTTGAATGTCAGAGTTTTGAATCAATATATTTTTTTTGTAACTGCAACATTCACAATCCTGAGAACGGATTCCGGAGTGTCTAAGATTTCTCTTCTAAAAACGCTCTTGAACTGTTTCTGAGCTCTCGCGTATTCATGAAATCTCGTTTAATGGGATTTCGTTGCGCAGGTACTCCAAGCTGCGCGAAAACCCGTTCCTGTGTTACCGTTCCACGTGCAAGCGTGTTCGAATCAGCCCAGGAACGCATGTAGAACGTATCCTGTGATGGAGCAGTGAGCAGGAATATGTGTTCGTTCAGCGCGATCACGCTGACTTTGATGCGCCGCGCACTGAGGTCGCGCGCAGGAAGTGAATGGGATGGTGGGCAACTTTGTGGCGTAATGTCTGTTCACCGCGCAGCAATGTGTCTATAGTATTCAGGGAGGTCTATGACGATGCTGTGCACTTGTTTTTACAGTGTTTCCCGCTTGCCGAATGTAGCGTGCCGTGCATCGAAATAGCACGCCGCGCGCGACTCGTGCTCCTCACAATTGCGTCCCGATTAAAGGAGACCCATGGCTGGAAAACGTCTGATACAAACCGATATTGGTAGTCCGTGTCGCTTGCTCGAAAAAAAAATTAGGCTGGCTCAGTCCCCAAGCGAAATCGCGGAGCACGCCCCATTGCCAGCAGCACAATCAGAGTATTGCTTTACTTGTTTAGTCATCAACGGACTTACGAGCATGAATGTCGACTCATTTAAAATTCCAGTTAATTTGCATGTTTTATGACTGTAAAGTTTGTGTCCTTTTTTTTCCAATTGATCCGAGTTCCTACATAAATAAAGCTTTCGCTGTAACGCGAACCTCACAAAGGGAGAGGTCGTTCAGAAAGGCCGTGGTGGAGCTTTTTCAAAACGATTTTGTTGCATGTTGTAGGGGTCCGCACACAAGGACCACACAGAGGG